CAGCTCCGGGGTGCTGCCCTGTGGATGGGGGGAGGCTGGATCGCTGGGTACCCCCTATTCCATGTCTCCCTGCTCACCTGGCCGCTCCAGACCGCCTCCAGTCTCCAGACTCCGGCTGCAGACGCCTAACCAAGCCCTTTGATCCCAGAGCAGGAGAAAGTCACCGTAATCGAGAATGGTGAGATCCGCATCAACGGCAAAGGGAAGAAAATGCGCAAGCCCCGCACCATCTACTCCAGTCTGCAGCTCCAGGCACTCAACCAGCGCTTCCAGCAAACCCAGTACCTGGCCCTCCCGGAAAGAGCGGAACTGGCGGCGCAGCTGGGGCTGACCCAGACACAGGTACAGCCTGGGCTAGGGTTGCCAGATGGGTTAACAAAAAATACCGAACACCTCCCCCCCCCCAAAAAAAAAGATGCTGGGAAAAATTCTGTTGAGGAAAAAAAGGGGGGAGACCAAAGTTATTAAGCAAAAGGTGCACCACTCCCTCCAGTTTGGGACCACACACTAACCCAAAATGCACCACCCCTCCCTCTGAGACAGGCCTCCCGCAGCGTCCCCCATCCCAATGCACTCACCCCTGCCTCACACCCAGTCCCCCCAGTGCCCCCCATCCCAGTGCACTCACCCCTGCCTCACACCCAGTCCCCCCAGTGCCCCCCATCCCAGTGCACTCACCCCTGCCTCACACCCAGTCCCCCCAGTGCCCCCCATCCCAGTGCACTCACCCCTGCCTCACACCCAGTCCCCCCAGTGCCCCCCATCCCAATGCACTCACCCCTGCCTCACACCCAGTCCCCCCAGTGCCCCCCATCCCAGTGCACTCACCCCTGCCTCACACCCAGTCCCCCCAGTGCCCCCCATCCCAATGCACTCACCCCTGCCTCACACCCAGTCCCCCCAGTGCCCCCCATCCCAGTGCACTCACCCCTGCCTCACACCCAGTCCCCCCAGTGCCCCCCATCCCAATGCACTCACCCCTGCCTCACACCCAGTCCCCCCAGTGCCCCCCATCCCAGTGCACTCACCCCTGCCTCACACCCAGTCCCCCCAGTGCCCCCCATCCCAATGCACTCACCCCTGCCTCAGTGCCAGGCCCCTCTAGTATCCCCCCATCTCAGTGCATTCCCCCCTCCCCCTGAGGCAGGCATCCCCCGCCCCCGCAGCCCCCCCCCCCATCAAATCTCATCCCTCCCCTGCCCCCACAGAGCCAGGCA